AAATATTGGTTATATTTCTAGACTGGCCAGCAACCATGTTCCCTTGGGTAGCTCTCAAGCATGAATTTAAAATGATATAATATTTAACCAATCAATGTAAATCAATAAAGGCAACTGCATATTATAGAGATAAAATCAACAATGAAGGAATAATAGTAATATACAGATGATAAGCCCAGCAGATGACTTCACAAAAATGCTAGCAGAATTATTCAATAATTCTAAAACGATTGCCAAACCTCCTGGGAAAATAAGATCTTCTCTTGGAGCTTCATTGAATGCTCAGAACTAAAATCAATTTCTTTCCAGGATCTTAAATGCTCACCCAGTAGCTAACAGTGAAGAGTGAAGGACAAAGTTCAGTGAGATAAACAGCTTTCATTGCTACTTGATGAAAAAAGCTGAGATAAATGCAGATCAGCTATTGAAGAATCAAGCCCTTAAGTGTTAGTTTCTAGCTGTTACAAACTGGACACCTGGTTAGAATATTCATGACTGGAAGAGACATGGTAACGAGTTCAGCCAATGAATAGGCATAGCAACTAAGTCAGCCAATGGGAGCTTAAACAGATTTGAGTCTGTGCTGAGAATTGAAACTGAAACTACTCTGTCTGCTCTGAATTCTGAAATGAAACTTAAACTTCTCTCTCTCGTGTTCTGCTTGTAACTTCTACCACATTGAAAGAATCTACTTATTGGCATTGTACATTTATTCAACTGTTATTACGTATATAAAGTTAATGAATCCAGCTGGATTTGATTTTTCTGCAACAAACTCTGATAAAGTTCTACCTGAATCCTTGGAGAACTGCAATATGCTAATCTGGTCAAACACAAGCAGAGGGATCGAGTTTTACATGGGGAAATCTTCCACGTCCCCCACTTCACTTACTTCTGGAAAAAGTACTTCGAGGACAAATTTGGCCATGTCTCTATTTTTAACCGGCAGTTTCTTGGCTCCAACTTCCCGATAAACTTCCTTTAAGTAATTGAGCACAAGGTCCTGTTGATAATCATCCTCCAAGTAGGTCTCCAGGATCAAATACCGGGGTGTTTTGAGGGATTTACTCAGCCAGCGTGACTGTTTCTGGCTCTTCAGGATGGAGCGGAGGTGCTCGTCCGCTCCTTTGGCTTTTACGATGAACTCCACAATCTGCTTGTTGGCTCGGTCTCGGGCAGCTCGCGTCCGGTCAGGAAGTATTTTCTTCACTTGCTTTGGGGGGTTTATCTCAGCAAGAAGCTCCCCGCTGCTGTCCAACACCTCCACTTGAGGGCAGCTCAGCTGGGATAAAGTATGGAAGGATTCTTTTCGGACCGGAGAGCCTTGGGGAAAAGAAGCCAGGGTCTTTGCTCAAAGTTGGGTCAGCACTTAAAACAGGGCTCTCCAAACGTGGCAACTTTAAGACTTGTGGACTTCAACTCCCAGAATTCATGGCTGGCTGGGGAGTTCTGGGAGTTGATGCCCGTAAATGTTAAAGTTGCTAAGTTTGGAGATCCCAATCTAAAAAGTTGCTAATCCCTATTTCTCTCCTTGTCGCACAACCACAGGTGATCCTTGACTTATAACCAGTCACTTAACGACTGTTGAAAGTTATGAGAACTCCCCCCCCCCTCAGAATTACATGAGACATTTCAAGTTATGACAGCTGCATGCACACATATACCCTGCAGTTGCAGATGTGATACCATTTTGTGCACTTGGCAACCTGCCCATCTTAATGGTTATTTGTAAGGTCCTATGGTCAAGTAACAATAGTTTCTGATGCTTTTTTGACAGTTTTTGGCAAAAACACTCCCGCTGGGGAAAACTGATGGTTCCACCACAAAACCGCAGACGACAAAATCGCGCTCGACAAAAGCGCGTACGTGACGTCATCACAGCGCGACGAAAACATCGCGCTGTGATCGATAAATGTAAAAATAA